TGATTGTTTTTCTTTGTATGAGAATAGGAGGCAGGAGTTTCACGAGGCAACGATTAGATGACAAAATTTTGAACAGTTGTAACATATTTTTGCCTGTTAACGAAAAAAGTTCATCTGATCATTGTGAAGATGAGGTGAACCAAGCCGAGGGTTGTCGACTGCTCCCTCTTCCTCCTTGATCTGAAGCTGGCAATTGGTCTCACTTTCTCAGCGATACGTTATTGTTTGCGGTTGACTGGCCGAGTTATACTCTTATTCCCATTCTTTTCTTAATTTTTTCCAAATTATAACTACTGGATGGTAAATTTTCCCACTCTCGATGAGTGAATGTATTTCTTCTTTGTTTTTCAAGGAGAAGGGTCGTCATATACTTTTATTTAAATATATAAAATATAATTATAAGGGTTCATTGGTTGGACTTAGGACATACCTCATTTGATTGAATAATTGATCGTTTTTCTTGAATGCCTATTGCAACCCGATTTCTTGAATGTTGAAATAGAAAGAAGAGTTGTGATGGTTGTTTATTATATTTTATGTTCATGATTGACATGCTGCTAGCTAGCAATACAATGATGATTTGTTTAGTAATTAGTAGGTAGCAAAGAGGTTATAAGTAGAAGGGAAAATATTTGGGGTTTTATAAAGGTCGCGAAGAATAAAGAAAATGATAATGGTGGTTTCTCGGTTGTCTATTTCGATGTTTATTGAATTTCTACATGTTTGCTGTGACATTTGTTTGTTTCATTAAGGTGAATTTTTCCGTATTGAATCCCTAACTAAAGCTTGATTTTGACATGATTGTTTTCTTACAAACTACTATTTGGATTGATGCATATATTCAGTTCACAAATGAGGAATCTGCATGATAAAATGAGTTGAGTTGTATTGAAGACTGCTCCTTTCATTAATTTTCTATGTTGTTATTAGGTAAAAATCACAATTCTTTTCTACAGGAGATATGTAGCTCTCTACAAAATATAAGTTGTATTTAAGTATATGCATTTTAATTTGCTAAAAATATTGCTTTAATAAGTTTGTGATAGTTGATAGTTTTGTTTGTGGTTGGTTTTCTAGAACATTTCAAGGTAATTAAACGAGTACGTGGAAGATTGATGGACGTGGATGCTAATGAGTTTCCTCATTATTCCAAAGTTGTATGTGTAAGTGATAATACACGATATTCATGGGATTTAGATCGGTATATTCTCTATTATCGTATACCGACATATGAGATGGGAGAGAAAATAAAAAGCTCTTCACTTATTTTTTTTATTAATTGAAGCATATTTTCTTATTCTAACTTCTTCTTATGTGGCTGTAAATTTTTTAACTTCTTTATCACAATTGTGTGCTAAAGAATGAATAACTCTTATGTTTATAATCTTAAAGGGCGAGTTCTATAAAAAAAAATTCTAAATCAATAAAGAACAATCTACAAAGAGCTCAGTTAATAAAATTAAAATGTCCATAAATAAACAAAAGGTATAAAAGTATGAAACAATACTTGAAATAAGGTAAGTGGGATTTACAATTCCACATATATTACCTTAGCAAACATAAATAATAATAATTAGAATAATATAACAAATTATAAAATAACCAAACAAAATACACCGCCCAACGGGCGGGTAAAAAACTAGTTAGAGAAGGTGGGTATTTATTGTGGGAACACATGACTTCCTAGTCGTTACAACCTTATCCAGCTGTAGCCTCAGGACAAGTGATTGTTTGCACGTCGAAGCACCTATAGTCCTATACAAAGGAAAGTGTAATTATATCTTAATTTCGCAGAAAATATAATGTCAGTTTTAGAAAATAGAAAATCATCCCACAAAAAAGGAAGAAAAAGAAAAAACAGCGGTGGGCTTTATTCTGTTGTCCCAGCCACAGACAGCATTGGACTTGGAACTGGATTATTATAATTTTGGGCTTTATAATATGCCAACCACCTACTAAAAAAGGCCGCATCAAACAAAATAATTTCCATTGAGAACTTAGCACCATTCAGTAGTTTCACTCTAGGAGCGTTGTACAATACATTTAGGGAGGGATGAACAGAAACAACCACAAGTCACAACCGAACCACTCATCGTCTCATCCAATTCGACCTAATTTACTCGTATAATAAGATTTAACGTTGATCAATGATTTTCTTTTAGGAACCCGTCTCTTTTGGAGGGTTTGCGTGTTTTAAATTATGCAACCCATAGAACACGACCCTGCCAAGCCAATTACATTTATACACTCTTATTTCAAGTCTTCTAATATGAGCAGCCTGCAGAAGTTCTTGTGTCCATGAAATCGTACCGTACCGGCGGTTAAACCACGAAATACCGGTATCAGAGGCTAAACCGATAGGCGGTATTTACCGGTATAATGGTTGAACTACGGTTAAACCACGATTTTACCATAAAATACCCTACCGCTGACTTTTCCGGTACGGTTTCATGGACCATAATCTTATAAGCTTCGTCAAAGAAAAAAGAAAAGAAAAAAAAGAAGCAGGTCTAGTTCACAGAAAAACTGAGCTGTTACAGTTTACTAATGGCTCACAAGTCACAAGTAGCTTGTGATTTGCTCCCTAACAGCCCAAGATTGGCTTCTGTAGCAACAATTTGACCAAACTTCTAAGTTTAATCACAGCTAGCAAAGTTGTTAATGCCCACCACCAGCAACAGCTGCTACTTACCTTTCTTTCAAGAACCAAATATGATCTATGACTTGTTGCAGCACCTACATTTACTTAATTCAAGTACAGAGAGAAACCAATTTCACTATACTTAGAAGATACATATTACCGGAGAAGATATATAACTTTTTTTTTCTAGATAGCCTAACCTTAACCTAACCTGGGAAGATAATTTATTTTCAAATCAAAGACATATAATATGTCTTCAAATCACAACAACAGTAGTACTTTCCAAACCTTTTCGACTTACTATGTTGGAAATTCCTATAATAGACACTCATTTTACGTAATGAATATTAACCTTTCGTTACGTAATATGTTGAATCATTACGGAAGGCTTACGTAACACTTCTAATTTAATTGTTACGTAAGAAATAACTATCGCTACGTAACCTTTACGTAATAGATGCATACTTTACGTAACAGTTGTAAAGTGGCATTACGGAAGCCATACGTAATGGATAGTCCTTTTACGTAATGATATTAATCAAGTTACGTAAGTCATTACGGAAGTCTTACGTAACACTTCTAATTTAACTGTTACATAAGAAATAACCTTTGTTACGTAACCTTTACGTAATGAGCGTGTATTTTATGTAACAGTTGTAAAATGTCATTACGGAAGCCTTATGTAATAGATAGTGCTTTTACGTAATGAATATTAACCTAGCGTTACGTAAAATGATAAGTCGTTACAGAAACCTTTCATAACGCTTCTAGTTTAACTGCTACGTAAGACTAACAAGCATTACGTAATTGTTACGTAATAAACATTAGTTTTACGTAACGCGACCTATAAAACCTGCTATAGCATATAAAAAACGTCAAGTTATAGTAACTTCAAGGCATGGTAGGAGGTCCCTACTATGTTTATCAGGAGGGAGAAAAAGAGGGAACTACTAATACCTAGGGCTGGAGGTTCGGTTATCGGTTGTCGGTTAACCAGCCGGTTAAATCGATAACCGGCGGTTACCGGTTAACCGATAACCGAAAATTATATGCTTCTGTCGGTGGTCGGAGCTCCTAATAGGTAATTCGGTTAACCGAGTAACCGAAAACCGGTTATCCGGTTAACCGACAATAACCAAAAATAACCGACCGACCACCCCCCTCACCAAAACGACGTGAAAATACCCGGTTATGAAGTTTATAACTTTATGTTGTTGAATTTGAGACATTAATTTGGTGATTTAGATGTATTTTCTATGCAAAAGTGATTGAGACTTTACTTTGGGTGTGATTTAGATGTAGAAATGTAAGTTAGAACCTTTCATTTTAGGCGATTCTAATAATTTTACCCGGTTAAAACCGAACCACCATCATTTTTTCGGTTATCTCAGTTAACGGCCAACTAACCGATAACCGACCGGTCGATTATTGGTTAACCGAATCCATCCCTACTAATACCCATACTTTTTCACCTCTTTTAGAAAAGCAAAAAGTTGGGAGTACAATTTTAGGTGGTTATAGATGGAAGCTAGATTGCAAATGAGCTAAAATACTTATGAAGAGTTTGGCGTTTGATTCGAGAAAAGCTCATTCGAAATTTGGTTCATTTATTAGCGTCAAGTTTGAGTTAAGACTTGTTCAGCATGTGAGGTTCGCGAGTTAGCTTGACTCGATGGTTTTAGTAGGTATCATATTTAGTTCATGAATTCTAACCAGTTCACATCATGTTATTTAACAGTAATTAGTATCTAAACTATCTATAAAAATCATTTTCCTTTCAAATTAAAATGATATATATTTGATAATGTACTCAAAGTCTTAAACAATCATATATTGTGAAATATATAAACTAACAAACATGTGAGCAATCAACAAGTCAAATCATAAGTTATAAAATATTAACTGGTTAGAAATCAATTAGTTATGAAAAAAATTACTTTGTTTCCTTTTATTATTACTACATTAATCACATCTATTATATATGGTATACAAGTATTATGGTTTCGGATAATAAATTATTTTAAAGTTGATGTTAGAGGTTCAATAGAATCAGAAATGAAGTGAGTTCGAATGGAGCTTGTTAGCTTATCAATGAGCCGAGCTCATATTTTAATGAGTTGATCCTCAGCTAAATCAAAACTAGACTCTTTTGATGCAGTAACCAACACTCACTAGTCACTAGTAATTACTCATAGTACATGGGTTCTCATCAACCCTCATATCCCACACACCAATAATTCAACCTCTATAGCAAGCAAGGATTTGAGAACCAACTGTATAACCCTGACCAGAGCAGGCAACTCTGGACATGGAACCTTAGAAGTCGTCTAAATTTGGGGCATCAGGATTCAGTCACTAATCCAATCCTGATCCTTAATTACATTTGGGTGACATCTTCCTTCATAATGTGGTTTCAAAATGGCGCTTAACCTTGTCTTTCTCCCCACCTCAAACTTCCATATCAGAATCTTAACCCAGAAACTAAAAGTAAGCCTCAAATAACCGAAAACGAACATGGCCTGGCACCAATCCATTCAGATTCCATACCCTAGTTTACCAAAGCAAATTACAAAACTGAAAGAGGCATCCTAACAAGAGCTCTGCCAAACCCTGCTATGCATCTCTTGTGCCTTTTCCCTCTGTTTTTAGTCCGTGAATCGCCCTAACAAGAGCTTGAGTGATCTTTTCCACATCAGCTGTTTCCTTTCCTTGACCACTACCAACATTATCGACAATGGCTTCCATTACAAAATTAGGGGTGCATGAAACTTTGCCGTGCAGAACATTGAGACCCATTTCTTCAAAAGCCTCCAGCACTGAAACTAGCTTGTCTTTCCCCTTCTCGCAAGTCACCTTCACTTGAAACCCTTTCTCACCCTTCTCCACCTTCACTTCCCTCTGAAAGTTCACAAAAATATCATCAACGCGTGGTTCCAAAACTGTTGAATGTAAAAGAAGGGGACTGGTATATACTCATCACCTTAGGAAACTGGAGTTTGTTTATGCGGTTTAAGTACTCCCTCCTGATTTCAGCTAACTCAGAAAGCTCTGTCTTCATTGCCTCCAACTTTAGCTTGAGCTGGTGGAGGTAGATAAAAGCACCCATGAAGGCTGAGCTCTGTTTCACCTTCACAGCAGGAAAAAAAAAAAAACATAGAGATCCAGTTACGAGTCTTAACTGGTTCCTTTGCTAAAGCGTAGAAATGGAGAGAAAAGGTGGATTAAGTGTTTACAGATTGGGAATGGTTGGTCATTCTAAGAATGTGAAGCTTTCTTCGCAATGCAAGCCTCCTCTGCATCCTGCAACCCATCTTCCCCTGTTTTCTTCTTCTTTCTGGGTTCTGTTTAGAATAAAAGTTGTAAATGAATGCTGGGCCTGGGAGACAACTGGTTTCTTGGATTTGGCCTTTTATAGCATGGGAGTGAGATACATTGGAAAGGTGGGGATAATTGAATTTCCGTGTAGTGTATTGGGATCTAAGATGTAGGGAAGCTCCTACTACTATATCTTGTTGTCTCACATGAAGAATTGGGAATATGGGAAAAAGTGTCGTGCATGACAGTCAGCACTTCATGCCAAAACTTGAGGGCCAAATTTATAAATGAACAAGAAAATGATCAGTAATGATAAAGCCTCTAGATTCAGCCTAGCCCTGCCGCCAATAGTAGTGGAATTGTTCACTTTCACCAACTTCTTAATGGCATGGTTTACTCAACTCGATTTATTTGACCAATCAATACCAAGTCGAGTTTCGGATAGAGCATGTTGAAAGTGGTTTGATTGTGATACGAATGATGCATGCGCTAAATATTGTTCAACGCAAACGATGACACTTTCATAAAAACAAAGAAATTTTATTTTACAAAAATGGGTAAAATAAGCATAGGTTGAGGGGCCTTTGCCCCTATCCCAAATCCAACACAGAGTGTAACACTGTAACCTAAAACTAAAATCTAAAAATGCTTTCTTTTGCTGATAATCCTGTTTCCGCCAAAGATTCCAAATGGGTAAATGCTGCCAAGCAAGAAAAATCTCCAATTATCAACTGATTGATATGATTGTGGGACGTAAAAGGACCAGCCCATGATGTGGGTGGGAAACAGGGGAATGGTACCAATTACAAGCCAAGGGAATGAGGAATGGGCATGCATTGGACAGACCAATTTATCCAATTGCATGTTTTTTAAAAGAAGTAGGTACCTTTATTTGAAAATTTTGATACCCAAAAGGACAAAATCATAAGCAGTAGCGAGTACAAGTACTGTTGCATGGGAACGGATGTGGGAACTGGGGCCATCGATTCAGAGACAGCAGCAGCCAGTGACATATACGCACAGAGCACTTGGGGTCACGAGGATCATTTGGGTTCACTTTGTCTCCAACACATATATAAATGTAGTTTATGTGTCTGTAGCTTTGCTCTTTGCTAGTGGCCGCAGGTCACATGTTCTGACACCATATAAACATATAGAGAGGTCTAGAGAGCGACTGGGGTTTGTGTTTTATTCTTTATCGTGTTTCATTTCCTACTCATTCTTCAGAGTTTCTGGCCCTCTCTTTGCCTGCTTTCATGCTTCCTTTCGCCCAATGAATCAATCAGAGGCCTCACCCGGAAACAAAAGGCCTTTATCCCGGCCCTAAACCACCTCTGTTCATGTTTATGGCTGTCAGTCTCCAGTCTATACGGTGAAATTTTTTTGCTTGCCCTGCTTTGTGAATGAAAGATTCCCCCTTTTGTTCGAAAACTCTTTGTTTTAAACTTGAAAACTGAGTTAACCAGAAAGCCCATCCACATGTTTAAGAAGAAAATGGATGAAGATTGCTTCCTGAACCAGTGGGTTAAAACAGAGTGGTTACTGGAAGGCAAAAACCAAAGCAGGGGAGGGGGATAGAACTAGCTATAAGAAGCCAAACAGAGGGGCAGAAAGCAAGCTAGCCAAGGCTATATGTTAGTTCAATGACAAGAAATACCCATTATCTTCCCTCCTTTAATTTTAAGCTTAGTAAATGTGATGGGAAGAGGACGGTGGAGTGGTGCAGGCCAGGCACCAAAACCGCACCAGAAGACCAAAAAGGGAGTATGCGAATTGGAATTTAGCAGTTGCAGCCTTCTGCTCTTTGTTGCTAACGTATAGCCATCTTTATCAGTCTCAATTAGCAATGCTTATCTTTGTGCAGTGATATTGATTTTAGAGGAGGGGGTAGTTTTTTGGGGTTAGTTGGTAAGGGTCGCTTTCTTCTTGTCTCCTCATTCGTTCCTATTTCAATTGTTGCATTCAGCAGAATTGTCTGTGTTTTATGGTTTGTCACTTTGTTCTTGACATCTCCCTCTCAATCTCAATTTCGATGGGGGAGACGAGGGTTTTCTCTGCGACAAAAATTTCTTGTCCATTTGCCTTCATGGGGGGTTTCATGTATGTATCACAAGCCAATGCAATGAACACAATTTATTTTTTTCCGCCCACCTCACCTGAGAAAGAAAAAATCCTCTGTTGCTGAAAACTTAAATTTAACTTTAGCATTCACAAAGCAGTACCGAAAACTTAAATTGAAACTTTTAAGTCAATTTTTTTTTGGAAGTAGTGCTTGAATGAATTCAAATGCGATTAACAAATCAATGGAGGCTCAGATCGACCATTGTTGTCCAGAGAAGGAGAGGAAGATCCTCCACGTCCATGGTTGCGAAACAATCGGTTGCCAGCGGGAATCAGATATCGCGTAATCCGACATAGGATAGAGTCAGTAATCAATGGTTATTGACCTGTTAGTAACTAAACCGGGACCGTAGATCTAGGGGCGGAATCATCATTTGGCTGGGCTGCATGTGGAATGGGATAAGCATTTTTGTCCGATTTTTGAAATTTTATATCTTTCCATTTTTTTTATTTTTTTCAGCATTTATATGCTATTTTTTAATGGAGGAAAGAGAAAAATAAAATTTTCTCTTCCTCTCTCTTTTCTCTTTCTTTCTTCCTTTCTCTTATCCAAACTCTTTTTTCCGCACTAAATCTCATTTCTTCTCTTGTTCTTCATTTTTTTTCTCCAACAATCGACGAAGAAAAATTGCAGCCTCCCACTTCATATCCGGTGACGCTCCAAATCCTTACTAGCTTTTTACCCGGCCCGTTGGCCAGTGAGTTTCATTTTATCATTTATATTAATCAATTAATCAATTTATCTATATGTTTAAACTATTTTGGATCTTCTACATTTTTTACATTTGCATTCATGCGTGAGTATGCGGTGCGTCTGTAAATTAAAAATTCTCAATGCTTAGCACGTTCACTTATGACGTTTCAATTCTCTGATCATAAATCATGTCACAAAGATATATCACGATACTCAAATGCGTGAGTATGTGGTGCGTCTACAAATTAAAACAACGATACTCAAAATTTTTTATCTTATACAATATATGTCATTCAATGAATCTCGAGTTTGGACAAACTCTCAACCAATGATGTTGCTCAGATGACCACAACTAAGTTAGAATGTTTTTATAAAGGTACTTCAATATTAGGTAAGTTTGGTCATCCTAATTGAAAGTTTACTGTCTTATTGTAAGATCATATTTGTCGATCAAGACACTCAATTTAATATCTTATACAATATGTACCAATTGTTAATTCCTGAAGTTTAATTTAGACTCACCCTCAACTAATGATCGTTGTTCAGATGTTGGTTTAGATCTAGGTCCAAGATACTCACATACTGTCGAGGGTTCTAATCTTAACATGGTCCATTGGTGTATAATTTTCTAACTTATCAAATATGCATTTGCTTAAACTTATACTAATATCTTCATTTTGTTGGTGTAATGCCACATCTATTGTCAATATCTAAGCATGATACTATACTCTAAGTAAGAACACGCTATCTGGACCACGAATTAACCGGATTTGTGGACATGATACTATACCCTAATCATTGATGAGTGAACCCTATGTCTTAGTTATCTAGATCATAGAGCTTAACCCCTAAGATTGTGCATGTAATTTGTTGCATATATTTTGACGAAGCATGACCGTTGATTTTTGTTTAGAATTAAATTGATCTTAGGGTATGAGATTTATAAATTTAAGACCTAGATTTTAATCTTGAAGGGTTTGAGAATAATACCATATTGCCAAACTCCAGTCAATTCAAGGTCAAGATATCATTTTCTTACTCAAAGTATGTCATAATATACATATATAAATATAAAGAGTTAAATGTATTTTTAAGTGTAATTAACACCTTTGTTTGACCGAAATATGTAAACTATTAAGAAAAATAAGGGAAAATATGAACAAATGTAAGAGAAAATAAGGTATGGAAGCATGCATTATAAGAGAGAAGAAAAGTTGTTTTTCTTTATCGCCTTCATTTGTACAATCAGGTACTATATTATGACTTCTTCAAGTTTCTATCTAAATGAAAAACCACTTTTGAAGCATTTTGCTGTTTAATACTTGTTTTCATTAATAGATACAAACATTAGAAAAAGATAGTGTTTAATAACCAAAACATAAAATTATATAGTTGTTTTTTCAAATTCAATTGATTATTAAATGTTGATTATCTAAACTTCAATGTATTAAGTTCAAATAAAAATAAAAATTAATTGATCAGATTTAATCAAATATATTTGTTAAAAGATTACAATATATGTCACTCTCCAAACATACGTATACTGCTGCTATACATATATATTGCAAAAAACAATTATTGAATAAAAAAAAAATATTAGAAGAAGATATAGATAGCTACATAAATGATCATTAAAATAAAAAAGAAATATTAAAAGAAGATAGATATAGATACATTAATTGATCATTAACTAACTTTTTTTGTTGTAAAAAAAAGTGTACACCATGGCACCTTGTAAATTCTCCAAATGCTTATGTGGCAACAAACTATTTTTGAATTGCCATAATATTATGTATAGATAGATAGATAGATAGATAGATAGATTCTCTCAGTCTCAGGTTGCTCCTTCCTTCTGTTCTTTCTTTTCTAGGCCTCAAAATAGATGACGCTCCATATTGTCAAATAGGGGACAAATCTAGGTGATTCGAGTTTGCATCTTTTAAGTTTTAGTATTTGTTTGTGAATTTTCAATTCCAATCTTCCTCCTCTTTTTTCTTTCTTTTTGCATTTGGTGTTATTGATTGCGGAGGAGTAAATGAGAGGAGACAGTAGACGAGTTTTTTTTTTCTCTTCCTCCTTCTATTTTCCCCTTTCTTTGAGAATATATATTGATATTACCACATATACCATATGGTAATGTGTGCTAACTAAATGTAATTTTATAGTCACGAGTTTTATCATGGTGGTAGTGGTAGTAATCGACACCAGTTCCAAGAAAGAAGAGTTAGAAGACAATGAAGGGAGAGAAGAAAGTGAAGAAAGTCGTAATTGTATATATATTGAGATTACCACACTATATCATATGGTAATGTGTCTATACCATATGGTAATGTGTGGTAATGAAATGTATTTTTATGAATATCATGTTTTTACTATGGTCGTAGAGGGTTGTAATTATATTTATATAGTTTTACCTTCTCATACCATGTGGTATTATATGGTAATTATAATTAATTTGTGGTCATTCGATTTACCATATTCTACTATGGTGGTATTGTATGCTAGTTAGATTTATAATTTTCTGTAGTGTGGTTTACCAAGTTATACCATGTGGTGGTAGTTGGATTTGTAATTTTATTTTAGCATGTTATACCATATGGTATGGTAATTATATTTGTAAATTTCTGTAGCATGTTTTACAACGTTATACCGTGTGGTATTATATGGTAGTTAGATTTGTAATTTTTAACATATTTTACCACGTTTTACCATGTGGTATTGTATGTTAGTTAGATTTGTAATTTTCTTCGACATATTTTACCATATTTTACCATGATAGTAGAAAGTGATAATCATATTTATACTTTTTTTTATAATGGTGAAATAAGTTAAAGAAAAGTAGAGTACTTACAAGAAGGGAAAGGAAAACAAGAACCAAGGCAACGAAGAACATCGGGCAAAGACAACACCCAAGAAACAGAAAGGAAAAAACACACAGCAGCAAAAGGGAACCAGTGCTGGAACAACAAACCAAATCAAAGCTGCGAAAAATGGGTAGTCTGCATAGTTCTGGGAAGGAGACGGAGTTTCAGATGATGAAGCCAACGATCCGACTAAGCTCGGTCCACGTTGCCACTAGCCGTGAGCCAACGAGCGATGTCCCTGGTTGTTCTAAAACAAATGGTTCTTGTCGATTCCTTCTCCTCCTGAAAAATTCTAGCATTTCTTTCAAGCCAAACCCTCCATCAAACAGAATGAAGGGCAACCTTAGTGCACCACTCCGATGGGTTATTCGGTTTGGTTCTAATCCAAGAAACAACAAGTCCCTTGAAATCAGAGTTGTCACGAACCCTTGAACTAAACTTCACGAAGGCAGCCAACATCATCCAAACTTCCTTGGTGTACTTGCAGGAGATGAAAAGGTGGTCGATGGTTTCCTCGTATTCTTCACACAACGAGCATCTACTCTGAAAGACCCAGCCTCTCTTCTTCAAAGCATCATGGGTGAGGATCTTCTTCTGTACAACAATCCACAAGAATACTCACACTTTGTGGGGAATCACTGGCTGCCACACCACATCATAGGGGAAATCCGCCCCGCCGGGAAATCGTTCACGCATCAACTCTCTGTAACAGGACCGCGCCGAGTACCCCATGGATGGAGAGGGCAGCCAAACCAATCTAGCAGGACCTTCAAAAAGGATGTTAGGTGGAAGATGATTAAGTAGCTCAAACAGCCTCACCCTCTCACTATCCACACCCCCTCTCAAGGAATGCTTCAAAGGAATGACCCAATTAACTCTCCCTTCTTCAAAATTTGCAGCATCAGAAATCTGACATCCTGGCACTTCTGTGGCAGCAACAACTCTGGGAAAGTCATTGGCAAGAATCCTACCCTTCAACCACACATCAAACCAAAGGGAAGTACCGGAACGAGCTCCAGGATCAATATGCGCCAACTTCCATAATATTTTCTTGAGCTTCAAGATCTATTTCCAAGGGCAAAGCCTAGCGCCGCCGCATTGCTCACCCGGCATCCATTCTGACACCGAATTAGGAAACTTAATATTAATCATTTCCCTCCACCAAGAGTCTCTTTCCTGTGCGAATCGCCACCACCATTTACAAAGAAGAGACTGATTTCGAGTTCTAAGATCAGTAATCCCCAGCCCTCCAAGACGTTTTGGTGCTTTACATCTATCCCAAGACACTAGGTGGAGTTTCTTCTCGCCACAAGATCCATACCAGATAAAGTTTCTTTGAATTTTTTCAAGGGCTTCGATCACTGAGGTTGGAGCCGAAAATAAGCTTAGCATATAAACCAGAGTAGCATCCAAGACGGCATTGCAAAGAGTAATCCTGCCAACTAGGGATAGATATTTGCTCCTCCACCCTTCCAGTCGATTCTCAACCTTACAAATAACTTGGTTCCAAATTGAGGCACTCTTAGGAGAAGCCCCAAGGGGAAGACCCAGGTAGTTTGAGGAAAAAATTTTCCAGTTACAGCTCATGATCTCAGCCAGCCTGTCCATATTCTCCACATCCCCAACCGGGAAGAGCATGCTCTTCGCAAGGTTCACCCTCAAGCCCGTGATACACTGGAAACAGATAAGAACAACAGCCAGATTAAAAACATCATCTTCTGTTGCATCGCAGAAAATTATTGCATCGTCCGCGTACAACAGATGATTGATTGCTCCCTGAGCGCTTGACTCATCCATGTGAAACCCCTTAAGAGAACCAGCCTCCTGCAGCTTGTGAAGACAAAAGGCAAGGGCATCCATGACCAAATTAAAAAGGAACGGAGAAAGCGAATCCCCCTATTTTAATCCCCTTTGCACTCCGAAAAAACCACCAGCTTCAGTGTTCACTATGACAGACAGTTTGGAGGAACACACAACACCAAGGATCCATTTCTGAAACCTTGGGGAAAGGCCCGTGTTAGAAAGCACGTTGAACAAACACCCCCAATTCACAGAGTCAAAGGCTCTTTCAATATCAAGTTTAAAGACAAGTCCTGGGAAAAAGTGTCCTCAACCTGCTGTCAATCAATTCGTTCGCAATGAGCCCTGCTTCATGTATCTGCTGTTTTCTAATACCCGAAAACTGCTGTCTATAGATTAAACTCCTCATGAAAGGCTGGAGCCGCAAGAACAGGAGCTTCGAGATGATCTTATTAAGGCTACCCACAAGACTGATTGGACGAAAGTCTCCAACCTCTTCAGCCGCATCCCTCTTCGGAATCAGACACAAGAAAGAATGAGCCACCGAATTGGGAAGGGTACCTGTAATGTGAAATTCATCCAAAGCTTTGATAATATCTGCTTTAATGATGGTCCAAGCTTTCCTGAAGAAATCCAACGTAAAGCCGTCCGGACTAGGCGCTTTATCACAACCGCACGAACATATAGCCTTCCAAATTTCAGGCTCTGAAAAAGGTACAGTAAGCTGATAGTTCTCTTCCATATTAAACAGATTCCTCTTGAAGTCTTCCGTGAAAGGACGCTGCTCATTATCTTCTTGAAACCTGCTTTGGAAATGGTTAATAAAAACCCTCTTCAGAGCTTCTTTGCCTTGAACACGAACTCCATCAACCTTGATCTCAAGCACAAATTTCTTCTACGATTATTATTCGCCACTCTATGGAAGTAACCCGAGTTTTTATCCCCCGATTTCAGCCATAACTCTCGAGAATTTTGTCACCACGAAATTTCTTCCATCAAAAGAATCTTATCCAGTTCACACTTCAGGAGACTTCTCTCATTAATGGCAAGCTCAGACAACTGATCCCTTTCTTCAGCATCATCCAACTCCTTGATCTTCTCAAGGAGACCCTCAATTTTAAGATGTGCTCTTACAAACACTTCTGAATTCCAAATCTTTATAATTTGTTTTGTTTGTCTTAGCCTATTCCCTGCACAAAACAAGAGACCAGATCCCCTCACAAGAATACTCCACCATCCAATCAAACTTTGTAAGAAACCTTCCTCAAGCAACCACATATTCTCAAAACGCCAAGGTCTATGGACATTATCAAACATCCCCCACTGCAATAGAATCAGACTATGGTCAGATTCAGCTCTTTCAAACGCCTGAACAGGGCCAGGGGAATAAAACTCTTCAAACTTCAAGTTCACAAGAGCCCTATCAATTCGAGAAAGAGAGGCGTTCGAACCGCCACTGCTACGAGTAAACAGAGCTCCTTGAAGCGGTAAATCGACCAGCCTATTGTGATTAATGAAGTTGTTAAACTCCATCATAAGCTCTCTACACCGAGGCCCGCCTCTATAGTCCTCATTAGACCTAACCAGATTGAAATCACCCAAGATGCACAACGGCTCATCATATCTTCTACAAATAAACTCAAGCTCCCTAAGGAAAGCAAATTTTTCTTCCTTCTCATGAGGTCTGTACACGATCACAACAGCCTGGATGATAGTAAGCCGAGTTGAGTGAAGTCGAATAGCAAGCGAGAAGTCTCCCTCCCAATAATCAATTGAACTAAAGTCCATCTTATCCCAAAAAATCACAATGTCGCCCCTGCTATCCACTGCGTTTTTCGTAACCCAACCAGAAGACCTACTTCCACTTACTGAAGAGATTAGAAATTGTGAACATGAGCACCATTTTGTCTCAACCAAACCAACCACTGACGCCCTACATCTCTTAATAATGGCCTTGACCCTTGCTCGCTTATCAGAAGCACACAAGCCACGAACATTCCACGCCAAGACGGACCCATTCATGACTGAGAAGAGAAAACATTCCTAGGACCGTAAACAGAACCCGCAGCAGTTGAATTACCGGACAGGGCATCCTCCTCGAAACGACGGGTTTGTCTTCTCACCCTCGGAGAAAGGGAAGGATTTGAAAGTACTCCCAACCTATGTTCTTCCATCTGCAGCTTGGACCTGCGCACCCTTCCTTTCCTAGCTCTAGCGCTATAAGCAACTTCTTCAAATTGTTCCTCAACATCCTTGGCATGAGCTGGTACAGTGAGTTTCAGCAAATAATTGATCATCCTTCCCAATTCAATGATGCGATTCAAGTCCTGCTCGGCTCTCCATTCGTTTAGGTATTCACCATCCACCAGGCGAAATTCAACAACAACAAGGGGGTTAACATCCGGGAAAGAGGGCGGGGAGAGGGGTTCAGGAATTGAGGAAGAGGGGCTACTATCAGGAAAAGAGGGCAGGGAAAAGGGGTCGGGGGGCGAAGGAGAAGGGGTAACCTCTGGGAAGACCTCAAAATGTTGCACATAGGGAAAGACATCTGGTGAGGCTGGTTCCAAGGGTTTATGCGGACACTGGGTTAGGGTGGAAGGGAGCAAGAGAGGATAATCTAAGAAAACGAAAGTGATGGGGTTGGAAGAAGAAGACAAACAGGATGGATAGAGGCTAATCAAACTGGGGATAGGGGAAGGAATTGGCGAAGAAAGGGCAAAGAAAGGAGTTTGGTGTTTCAGGGGATGGGACACGGAAGATGACGTGAAAAGATGGAAATGGGATCATCTAAGGATGGCTTCAGGACAAGAGAAAGGAACGTATTGGGCTTTAACAAGGGAAAGGTTGGGCTAGGATGAAAGGGTTGGGCTGGGCTGCGGGCAAAAGAAATAGATTGAGGGGGTGGGTTGGGCCGGGCTGCAGGAAGGGGGCCACTTTTTCGAACCCAAACCTGTTTAGAACAAGCGACGATGGGGCGGGCAAAGGACACATTGCCATGCACGCGCAGTGGAACCCTAGGCGGCGCCTCGGGGACGAGAAGGCTAGTCGAAACGACACCATTACCCGATCTAGGACAATACGCCACCTTCTCAACGTCATGATGACATACCCTTGGGGGAAGATTCGTCGACGGTTGAAAGATATTGATCGGAAAGGACAGACAACCGCTCCGAAGGAAGATCTTACTGGGAAACGATGGAGCTTCCTGAACCTTCATGTAGACGAAGGGATCCTCCCAATTTTTCCAATCCGCATCAACAAAACCGCCACAAAGATCACCGATCTGCTTACACACCTCTCTTGACCGGAGATGGAGAGGAATTCCAAAAGCCAAAATCCAACAAAGTCCACCATGACGTTCCAAACAGCTCTCGACTGAATCATCCTTCCAGAAGCGAACAACAACGTTGAAGTTTTGAAATTTTTTATCTCTCGAAGACTGGATGCGAATTGCCTCCTGTCGAGATGGACAAAACAGGAGCCAGCCATCTCCCACCCTTCTAGAGAAGCAAAAATCCTCGTTGAGGTTCCACCTCCTCCAGGCCCAAAGCTTGAAATCCTCACACCGCTCCATAGGGAGCCCTTCATTACGAATGTCAAAGAAGTCCAGAAACAAACATCGATCAAGAAAGAGACGCATGTCATGCAGTCCAACAGATGAAGCTTCCACTTCCGGAAACTTGGGGGAGCTAGAGTCGTCTGAACGAAGAGGTTGAGGGGTTCACGTATCAGACCGCACAGCGCCCTTCAGAACAGAAGCAAACGATCTACCCGGCACAACCAAACTCCCCAAAGGCCTCCCAACGACTGCCGCCCCTAGCCTGTCGGAAGGAAAAAGGGCACCTGAAAGGTCAACCAAACCCCCAGGCTCCACGGGGACGATGACAAAGAAGCTTCTTCCATCCTTGATATTCTCCGAAATCTTAAGCCAACCACCACCCCGGTTCTTAAAGAAAGACACCGAAATCTCGCGACCAAGACCACGCCTTTTGCCGATCAGGGATTCAGATCTGAACCTCCCACCCCTATCACGAATCAACTGACTTATCCAAACCGCCTGACCTGGCTCCAGGAAAATGAAACATCTCCGGTTATTTCCGACAACAGTAAGCCTGAAAAACTTCTCATTCCTGAACCTTAGCTATTCCACCTGTCGCAACCGTCCCTCCGGTGGGTCCGCGTGTCGTCGCGCCGACTTTTTTTGGGAGTCGCCATCGATCTTACTTGGAGTGGATCGAACACTCTTCTGATCGGCTCCGACCTTAGGGTCAGAACCGAGATATGGTCTGCGAAAATAAAGTTCTGGGTTCGGGAGTACGGTTACGTGTGGGGAAGTTAAGCAACACCCCTAAATCGGTACTACTTAAGTTGATAAGTTTTATACAAATTGGGTGTATTTTTAGTATTTTTTTTTTTGTAATTTTAGGTCCCACTGGACCATTTAATGATTTTACCGTATTAGTTTATTATTAGGTATTTTAGGTATTTTTAAGGCCTTACCAGACCACTAAAGAAATTAAATTGTATTAACTATAATTTAATTATACGCCCACTGACGTAAAAATTAAAAGTGGAATTAATTGGTTAGTTGGACTCGAACCTTATCGGTTGCCTACGTACCCGTTAGACGGGATCAAAGTCCACGTAGTTCGTTCGAAATTTGATAATTTTAATAATAACTTTTACCACGTTCCACTGAACGTAATTTTCATATTAAAGATTTTGTTATACTAAAATTTAAATTATTATGATGTTACTAAAATAAATGCAAGGATTTTAATTATTAAGAAGAAATTTGACGTATTAGGAAAGGAACAAGATAAACTTAATCCGCATTCAACATTTCGTATTAAGGATTTTAAACTAATAAATTTGAATGGGATGATAACAACTACAAATGATTGGCCAGTAGCCCAACTGGCTAAATGGGCAGTCCTAGATCGTGTTTCACTTTGAGGACGTGGGTTCGAAGCCCGCAGGTTCTCTTTTTGGTGCAGCAAAGGGGGAAGGGTATTTTGGTGATTACACAAAAACGCGGTGGCATGGCATGTGATTTACGAGAAACCCTAGGGGCAAAATCGTCGTTTTAATGAAAGGGTTATAAATTCATTTTTTGGAAACCCTAAGCTAACTCTTAACCCTAAACGACCCCATGGCCGCCGCTCTCTCCCTCTCTCCCTCGATCTCGATCCTTCTCCACCTCTCCAGAGAAACAAAACTAAACCCTAGCCACACTAAAGCGCCGCCCTCTCACTCTCACCTCTCTCTCCCTCTTCGTCTCTCTTCTTTTCCAGAGAAAGGAAGGCGACCCTAGCCGCCTCTTCATTACCGCCGCCATCTCTCTCTTCTCGATTCTTCCTTTCGCGCTCTTCCTCTCTAAACCGAGAGGATGATAGGGCTAACGTTCTCTCTTTCTGGAAATGACGAGGAGCACGACGGGGAAAAAGGGCCGCCGCCGCCGGCGACTAAGGACGAGCGCCGCCGGCGACTGAGGACGAGCGCCGCCGGCGACTGAGGACGAGCGCCGCCAACACCAGCAGCGACGATGGCGACTAGGGTTTTCTAAAGGTTAGTTTTTTTGGTTTGCATGTAAGATTTTTACCATTTTTCGATTTTTTGCTTTTAGGGTTTTTGAGGTTCTAACCCTATTTCTTGTTTACCTTTCGGAGATCGATTAGAAATAGATGTGGGATTCCTGATTCGCCTTCTACTGCTCTCGATCTACCATTTCTATTTGGGACGGAGGCAATGACGAGGGGATATTGCCCTCTGGTAAGATTTTTCTACATGCATGTCCATTTTTATTCGATTTAATGCATTAGATCGAGATTTAACCTGTTTTTTTTGTTTTTTTTATTGTTTGGACCTCCGCCGAGAGAAGGGAGAGGCGGCGCGGCCTGCGTCAGAGCCAACGGCGAAGGTTTAGTTTTGGGTAGGTCTTTTCGTTTTAACCCCTTTTTTATTCTGGGTTTTCTGGTTTATTATCATTATTTGGGGTTCTAACTCTTGATCTCCTTGATTTTTGCAGATTTATTCAGTTTGAAAGAAACTAGGTTATACCTCTTCTAAACCTAAAATGGATGGTTTAGTTATCTTTATGATTGTTTATAAATCTCTTTGGTGTTGTCAAAGTAAATTTTGTTAGAACTCCTTCTAGGTTTGTTAAGCCTTAATGTTCGGTTTTGGATAAGGTGGAGAATTTCTATAATAATCCTAGGGTAATTGGAAACCATAGCTACTGCTTATGATCATCCTATTGATGGGAAGCTTACCTGGGTTTGGGCTTTGGTAATAGGATTTGTTTTAAAACTAGTGCAAGTTTATTAATGTGAAATTTGTTGAATGTATGGTTTTATTAGATATGTAGTATTTGGGTATGGGGATTCAAAAAAATATGTAAGGAAACACTAAAGGTCAAATTTGTGTGTGATTGCCAAATTTTGACAATCGGATCAAAAGAGGGTGCCCTTAAACAAAAAGAGGTATTCTAAAATCCCTTCCTTAATTTGCTTTGATTTCTATTTTCTGTTTGAATAGATTGTAGGATTACCTCCTACCACGTTTTAAGTTGTTCAGATGATTACATGTTTATAAATAAAAAAAACAACCTAACTAATATAGTGGTAAACTTAGCTAGTACTTATTATTTCTTAGATTTCCTACATGAGATGGGATATAAACATATTTGAGTGATGCTAAATGATAAATACAAAATATACACAAACTAGCATTTAAGTAAAGAATATCTATAATAGGTATTATGGAATAACAATCATAGTCATGACTTGCCCACCAAAAATGGTTTTTGCTTCTATGCTCATTTATGGATGAGATGCATATATATGAATGGTGGATTGTGGAGGTACCAACCTGGTTTTGTCGTTGGATGGTGATGGCGATGGCTTTTTACTGTCTGCCCCCTTTGTGCTTCTTAATGCCCCTTGTCTGCCCTTTAGTGTTTAATGCCTTGTCTGTCTTTTTTGTGTTTTCGTTCTTTTTCTTTCTCTGTCCTTTCTCCCAAA